AAAAATTATTTTAAACGTATGCTATATTTTAATGGTGCTTTATGCTTATTTAGAATTTGCGTCCAAGGTCAAATCGTTTTGGGACATTCTGTAAATGAAATATAGATAAGTACCTACTGTGTCTTGTTAGTAATTCTTAGATAGCAGTGGTAATTTAACATAGTAGCCCCTCCCGAAAATATATTCTGTATACGTCACTGACTCCTATCACAATGCCTCGTAGTCTTTGTACGAGTGATCGATGTAGCTTATCTTTATCTCAATATTATACAGTTATTTACTTTTAAATTATAAATTTAAAAAATAACCCGGTGTAAGGTTAGTGCGGCAAATTCTATCCTAAATTGCTAAACAAAAGTCTTTCTATTGTTTTTCGACTTAATAAGACCGAAATTTATACACCAATGGATAAACATCGAGGTCGAATAAATGCATACAATATTTATTTATTTTTTATTAATCATAACATTTCAGCTTTTAAGTTTTCATCAAAAATGATCACTTATTTCATATTCTAGAATTTACAGTATTTTGTATTAATTTTTTTAATTCATAGCAATTTTGGTTATTATGCTATTTATATCATACCTATATAATATGTACATATAACAATATGTGTATCATTTAAAGGGCGATTTTTTCCAGCAGCGAATATAAAACGATTTTTTCTATTGTATTGTTTAATAGATATCATTATCATTCTACTTATAATAAATTAATAACTATTTTAGTAACTAACTAATAACTTTAGATTCGCAGCTTAAATCACACAACTAAAAAATTATAAGCTATTTTCTTGGTTTATAAGCTATCGGAATCTATGGTTCTAAGTACTTGAAAAAATCGTTCAATTTTCACTCACTATCAAAAAATTGGTCAAACTGAATCAATGCTCAACTTGGAAAAATTAAAGAAGGGGAACTCTATTTACTTTTAAAAAAAAAAGTCCCCAAAACTTGTTAAGCGTTTAATTATAACATAATAATAGTAGGGGGACGCTAAAATTTCTGAAAATTAGTTAGGGTACTCCGTCCCCTTGCGCTCCCCCCTCAAGTCGAGCACTGAACTGAATATTATATACTTGAAATCTGTACCTCATTTTTCCATTTATCTAAGAATGCTTTTGACAAAAAGTTATAACTATTTCATGATTAGCTAAATGTAAAAATAAAATATGTATATTGAACATCTTATGTGGTTGACTATTTCATCCACTATAGACGATTTAGAATGAAAAAGTAAAATAATAAAAAACCTTATGTTTCGGCAAACATGTCAATAAACTAATAAATAGCAAGATAATGATGATGTGAACAATCCGTATTGCATTACAGAACTTCTGTGCCACTCCAAATTCTTTAATTTCACATTAACTTTTTAATATCTACTTAGTTTAGAGTTTAGTCCTAAGGAAGTTTTGCGTCCAATGTAATATATTATTACATTCGAGTTAAATGTAATTAAATAAGTTTTAATATAAAGAAATTGCTGCGTCTTGTATCATTCACCTAAGTCATGAAACTATTACCGATAGATTACTGTAAAAAATTACTCATTAAAAGAGTTCAAACGAAAACATCAAAAAGCTATAACTAATATAGAATATACTAATATTGTCATAGAATTATTATTTACCATGGATTCTGTTTGAAACGTGGTATGATTTAGTTTTACAATGATTTGTATTTTTTTTTTTACTAGTAAATATTCCGATCATCACAATCATAGGAGATAGTGAATATGAGTGAAAATAGGATATATTTTCTGATAATATTCTGAAAGAAGTCATATGTAATGTTTCCCAATGGTTTTCCTTAACAATTGTGAAAAACTGACAAAATGTATTAAAATAACATACGACACATCAATTTTCTACAAAATCAAATTTTTGATTTCATTGTAATTAAAAAAAAATTATAATAATCGTAGAGATATGACTTTTATACTAAATATTTATATCACTATTTACTATATATAATATCATTTTAAATTAAAAAAAAAAAAAAAATGAACTATTTATAGAAAACTAATATGTTCGTGTTTTCATATTTACTTTATGGAAATATTGATAAAATAATTTTGATTGAACAATAAGTTTTGAAAATTTAATACAAAATTACTCATATATATCTACCGAATAAAGAAAAAATAATTGAAATAATTAGAAAAAAATTATGAATGTTTAAGTATTAAATTTAGACAAAATAATAAAAATCACGAAAATCCGATACATTTTTATAGTCAATTCATAAGATTTTCTTGTAGAAAAAAAAATAACTGAAAAGCTTAAAAATTATTTTTGAGCATAACTAAATAAAATGTTGACGAAATCAAATATTTCAATGAATTTCCATTAAATTATATTAGTTATTTAATTAAAAATATTTCATATAACTTCGAATTTTTTAATGAAGCTTTTACTTTTTATAGACACTTGGCATTTTAAATTTTCCCAAATTGTAGATGATATCTTTTTTTTTTACAAATATTAGAATACTAAAAATATAACCTTCTTTATTAAGAAATTTGGTTCTTCTTCTATATCATACATCTTTAGAAATATAAACTAATCCAACCCGCCTCTTTCACT